TCATTAACATTTAGACATTTCTCAAAATTTCGGCATAGTTAATGTCCAAGTTGACATTTTGACTTCTGACATTAGAAAAATATGACCATTCAAACCTCTTCATATCCCATTTCCCTTTTGACCTTCTTATTATTCAACCTATATAAGCCCTTTCATGCATTCGTTCTTATACACAATTTATACATACAATCAAGTTCTTCACAATAGTTCACAAAAACACTTGCAGAATGACTACTTCTTCAGGTAAAAGTAGGATTCACAAAAACACACCCCAGAAGAAATACAAAGGCATTCGATGCCGAAAATGGGGCAAATGGGTATCCGAAATTAGAGTTCCTGGCTCGCAAAAACGTCTCTGGTTAGGCTCTTATGCGACCCCTGAAGCTGCAGCAATATCACATGATGTTGCTTTTTATTATCTACGAGGAATTTCATCACCGGAAAAAATCAACTTCCCTTTAATGTTGCCGGCTGGGGCCTGGACAACGATGTCTCCCTGTTCGGTACAAAAGAAGGCTTCAGATGCTGGCATGGCCATTGATGCTCAATTATCTTTGAATATGGAGAAAGTGAATGAAGATTATAACATGAATTTATTGCAGAATGAAAATTGGGAAACATCTTGGGAGGAGAATACTGATAAATCCTATGAAAGTGAAGCTTTGAGCATTTCAGTTGAAGATTATCTATAGTTTTCTGGGATTCTTCAAACTCTTTCTACTTTTTAGGTAAATGTTGGTGTATATGTGTTTGGAGTTAGTACTTTCTATAAGTCTTTCGAGAAGGGTTCAAACTTTACTCTTCAACTCAACTTGAAACGAGGGAATGGTTCGATCAACCTAAATCGTAAAGTTCCTGAGGGGTTTGCTCATCTTTTCAAGTTCAATCATCCACTTCTGTTCAAGGTGTGCGTAAGATTGCTCAATGAGTAACTCGATCAGTGTAATTTAAACGTTTAATATGAAGTGCTGAAATAGTATGGTCTTTGCATATAGGTCGCTTACGCCAAGACAATCATTGCAATTCTTATCTTCAGATCTATTTGTTGAAGATATGGAAAGAATAATCTCTATAATATTTTTTCAATAATGTAGGATTATTTTCTTTAATAGTTGATTGTATAATTATTATGCAATTTTTCTTTTTAGAGTTTTTTATTGCCCTATAAATATGATCTTTTACTTTGTAATAGAAACAAGTTTATTGTATACAATTTTAATATTCTTCACATGGTATCAAAGCAGTTTCGATCCTAAACAAATTAACCTTTGAATTTCGTTTCCGGCGAGCGGCCTTGAGCCACTCGCCTGGCTACCAACGTTGTTTTTCTTTTTTTTATTGGGCTGTTGGAGTAATTGAGTCAATTATTTAATTGATTTGATTTTACTGTGGAATATATGGGAGTTGTGCATTTTCTCCTCTTAAGCTTGTTTGGAGTTTTTTCAACTTTTGGTAATCTGAAATTTGGTCCAATTCATTTGAAATTTGGTCCAGTTCATTTGGAATTTGGTTTAGTATATGTCCAATTCATCTGAAATTTGATTTGTTGTTGGTTCGGTGTATCCGAGATTTGAAATTTGCATCCAGTTTATTTGGTATTTGTCGAATTGGAATTTGAGATTTGCGTCTAGTTCATTTGGTATTTGTCAAGCTAGAATTTGAAATTTGCATCCAATTAATTTGGATATGAAATTTGCATTCATTTGGTTTAGTAGTTGATGCGTTGGTTACTTGCAGATATGGGTATTCCTTCTTCCTCTCCAACC